GGTACGTAGTTTTGACCTCTGGTGTTTCATCCATCTCCTTGGTCCAAATACCTTTTAATGCCTGCTTAGGTCCTCTAACTGTCCTTCGATACAGGAGTTTGAATGGCGCGAATCCTGTACTGGCTTGTGGTACTTCCCTGTATGCAAAGAGTACAGCTGGAATATATCTATCCCAGTCCTTAAGTCTCTCCTGGCACATCTTTTTCAGCATGCTTTTAAGTACACCATTCATTCGCTCACACCAACCATTACACTTAGGATTATATTGTGTTGTACACAGCTGTTTTACCGATACCAGTCTACATACTTCCGTCATCAGTTCGGACGTGAATTGCGTGCCCCTGTCACTCAAAATTTCCTTCGGAAAGCCGACTCTACAAAAGATTCCAAGTAAAGCTTCAGCTATCTGCTCGGTCTCTATCCTTGGTAGTGCCACTGCCTCAGGGTATCTTGTAGCGTAATCGACTACAATCAGTATGTATCGATTCTTGTCCTCCGACACAGTGTATATGGGTCCAATAAGATCCACTGCTACTCTCTGAAATGATTCCTCAATGAGAGGCATCTCCCCGAGTGGTACCTTGGTTATCCGTCCCTTTGGTATAGTCTTTTGGCAGATATCACACGACTGACAATACCGCGTAACATCACCAGTGAAAACTCGACGAAATCCGGTCTATGCCCGCCCACTATGGGCTCATGAGCAAGAGCCATAACTGCCTCACCTCTTCCGATAAGTTACCTCTACCTTGTGCATACACACGATATAGGATGTCTCCCCTTACCTCCATCCTGAACTTCTTTATTGACTGTTCCTCGCTTGAAATTTTCTTTTTCGCAAGTTTCCACCATTCGTCGAGTGTTATTCTTCTGAGCCTCTATCAGCCCGTCTAATCCAACCACATCCACTTTGTCCACTTGTACCATAAGTGGCTTGATGGGCCGATTTGCCTTCTTTGTCTGTGCTCTGGTCATCACAGCTGACACTTGTGTCCTGTTACAAAGTGGTTTCCAATTTTCATCGGCTGTCAAACTTACACCATCTATGTTTCCAAGAACAAGTTCATATATAGGATGTTTCATGCACATCGCCTCTACCTCTCCTGTGTAATATGGCGTATCCACCGTAACCTTAGTTATCTTGAACCTTCGCACCGTTCCGTCAATCAACACACATGGGAGATCCTTTGAAGTACAGTTGTGGGATCGCACATCGTTACACGATGTGCGGTGTCCGCACGATGTGTGCACGGTGTGTGCACGATGGGCGAACGATAAAAAGATGGACGATCATTGCTTGCGCACATATGTGTGCACGATGGACGGACGTTGTGCGATAACAATCGTGGTTGGTGTAAATTGAAGAATGCCTTAACAATTTATACGGTTTCGTGTTTAAACATATACACTTGTTTTTTACGTATGTTTCTATATTCTAGCAACATCTATGAACTTATCTTTCTGTCTATACATTCTTATATTTGGAAACTGTGTTTTCTGTGTTTTTAAACAAACTTAATCGACACATTACAACACAATCCCGTACACAGGTAAACATAACCACTTATACATGTACGGATATACCTGGACCGTAGTTTTCTCCCCGCCTGGGGCACTTACGTAGCTCGTCGGGTTAGGCCGGGGGTGTGAAAATCCAGGTGAAGGGGAGCTATAGGCAAACGAATGCAAATAACAAATACTATTCATTACGGTCAAACGGTATCGCATATCAGCTCTAGATCTGTGTGTCAGGCACTGGTCAGGCAAAACACCGGACACTCATGATCATCAAATTGTTATTTACCTGTTCTGTTACCTTGGAGCCAAACCCATTCTTGACAGCCTAACGGTCGCTGTAATACTGTGTAACACGCATTGTGNTCCGGACACTCATGTTCATCAAATTGTTATTTACCTGTTCTGTTACCTTGGAGCCAAACCCGTTCTTGACAGCCTAACGGTCGCTGTAATACTGTGTAACACGCATTGTGAAATTGTATAATCTAGATTATTGTAATGAGAAATTACAGATATATACACAGTGTACATACATTATCGCACACAAGCTTTCCGTATTTTTGTCATTCCGTAATTTTGATCTACAAATGATACCAAATCGCACAGTTGTGCGGAGAGAAGCGCACAACGGGGCGAACGATTGCTAAATCGCACAGCTGTGCGCACCATATGTGGACGTTGTGCGGACGGTGTGTGAACGATGTATGCACGGTGTGCGCACGCTATTTTTGGTGCGTTGTGCGGTCCCACAACTGTAAGTTGGTCAGGCCGGACTAAATCTTCTTTAACCGCGGCGCTGCTGCATCCGGTGTCCCTCAAATCTTGAACGACATGTTCTCCCAAGTATCCTTTCTGAACGGGCATTCCACTGTCATCGACTAGTTCTATACGTCCCAATGTCTTTCCAATTATCTCTATGTCGGTTTTCACCATCCCATCCCTCATCTTGCTATCCTCCACCACAACTTTTTCTCTTGTCCTCTCAACAGTCTTACAATGATTACCAATCGTCTTGTCTACATTCTTACATGCTGCTGCTTTCTTATTCTTATCAACATTCTGGTTCTATCTTTTCTTCACAACAAACTGCTTGTTATCTCCCTTCCTCAAGTTACTCTCTGTATCCTTGTAGGCTACCATACCTGCAACTTTCCCATCAGGTAAATGGTCTCGTGGCAAGCGTCCTTCTTCATTACAGACAAAACAGCGCCTACTTGTCTTCACGCTAGCTTTGGTACTGTCATCAGTCTGTCTCTGGTTCCCTTGGTATTGAGTTTTGTTATTGCTTGGTGTAGCCTTGCTGTTATGTGAGACCTTAGTATGCTTCATGATACCTCCACCATGGGCCTCCATATACTGTTCTGTCAAGCGTGTCATTTCCTTCACATTCTTGGGTACTCTTTCTCTCAGAAATACTGCCATCTCTGCTGAACATGTCTGAATAAACTGTTCTCTGCTGAGTAAATCCTGTAAAGCCTCATAACTGTGGTCAATCTCTGCCAACTCTGTCAATCTTCCTAAATAACTGGTAAGTCTGGCAATAAACTGAAAAGATGTCTCTCCCTTATCAGGTTTACCATCTCTGAATTTCAGTCTAAAACCTTCTTCTGTGAGTTCGTATCGCCTGAGTAATGCTTTCTTCAGTTCTCCATAGTTATCAATATGGGTGGGTGGCATGCTCGTATAAACTTGTAAACCTTTTCCTATGAGTAGGGGACTGATACTCACTGCCCAGTTGTCCTCTGGCCACCTCTGTGATGTTGCAAATTTCTCAAATCTTTCCAGAAATGCATCAATATCATCTCTCTGCTCATCAAACTTTGGTAGTTTTTGCCTCAGTGACCTAGATCTGGAGTCTTCAGTGTTTGTTCTGGTCAGCTCTAGCCGTTCTACGCGTCCAACGCATAAAATGCATAGTCAATAACGGGTATACGTATCACACATAACGCACAATTCCTTCCTTGTTACATGTTCAACGCAATGGTTATAGTAAGCCCACTTCTGACTGTTCCAGCATCCTTGGAAATCGAGAGTTCGCCATGTTCACCGTCTTCTTCGCCGTCTTCCTGCTATCTCCCGACCCAAGCTGAATCCCTTTCCTATCTGCCACTGAATGTTCTGTAAAGGGAGGTAACTCATGACTCCCTTTCCGAAGGTAGCACACCACTATATATAATGCGGTACGGCCGCTACATATTCCGTTATATAACATACACATATCAAAGTTCTGGATGCGCACACACATATCAGATATAAGGTTTTGAACGCGCACACACACCTTATTCATATTACCAATACAGACATATTTATATTGACAGATTGGTTTTGTTTAGTATTGTTTAACGTCCTATCAATAACTATGGTCATTCAGGGACGGCCTCCCCTGTGTGCAAGATGCATGCGTGTGCGTTTTGGGAGGCTGAGATATGTTCATGTTTGTCTCCTTGTGATAGCGCGGAACTGATTCCGACTTTATAGTGCTACTCCACTGAAACATACTACTGAAGACATCCAGTAGGACACCCCATCCGGTCTCATTACACTGACAACGGGCGAATCAGTCGTCCCAGTCCTGAATTGTTGAGCGTTAAGCAGGGGTAGAAACTACCATTTTTACAGACTCTGGTATGTCTCGGCCAGGGGACAGAACACAAAACCTTCCTCACTGGGGCTAACGCTCAACTAAAGGCCAAAAGTTAGGCAATATCAATGGAGACATCAGGAAGAAGTTGTTTAGAAAGAGGAGAAATGATAAGATCCCAAATTGAGTCGCCTCTTACGATCATTCAATGGGGGCAGCATGGAAAATGAAACAAATAGAAATGAATACAAAGCCTTGTCTACAACGAACACTAGTGATCTATCACTATGTTTATATCATGTTTGTGCTTGTGCGCGTGCATTTTATCGCCGTCTCTTAAATTTAGATAACTGTTGATAATACACTATATAGGAATCGATACATCAGTAGCATGATCTTGCTATATATAAGGAGTTGTAACTGTCACATGTATCCTACGACACGGGAGTGTCTGTATACCAGCGCTTGCCATGTGACAACTCAACACGTTTCTCGGTACCAGCAGAATCAAGTTCAATGTCAACGCGTTATCGCATATATAGAACCGCCCGGAACAATATGGCATTGCGTGATCGTGTTGCTTCAAACACGAGAGGTGGTTTGAACCTTTTCAAGATTATATCCGTCGACACGACGTACATAGAGTAGTACCCACTCACTCTGGTAGTAAGAACTAAATTCTGGTACTTATTCGAAAGACTTTACCTCGATGGAACTGTAAAAGAAAAAAACGTGTCTAAATGTACTTAGACGTGTTTTATAACGGTATTTGTTCTTGTAGTATCGTACCAAATCGAAAAGACGCCATTTGGTGATGGACCTTGATTACACAAGATATACTAGCATCACAGCTCATCAATCAGTTCATTTTGTGAATTACATCAAATCGAGTTTAACAGCGATGGAAGTATACAATGAAACTTCCCCTGACCTCATGCTGGGAATGGATTCTAACGACATCAACGTCAGTGACTATGTGTATATGCTAATGGCGCTATCCATGTTTGCCATTTTTATGATGGGACTTTTATTTAATGCACTATTTATTTACATTCTACTTTTCCATAATAAACTGCGTACTCGGAACAATGTATACATCATCACGCTCTGTGTGGCCAGTATTCTCATTAGTGTACTGGCGGTGCCTTTCGTTGGCGTTTCCGCTGTGTCACATCATTGGTTATTTGGGACAAACGGATGTCTTTTTCATGGATTCATTGTGACTTGGCTTGGTTTGATCCAAATTTGTATTTTAAGCGTCATATCAGTTGAGAAATATTTGATAATTGTGAGAAGAAATCGTGAGGATTTTTTGTCCTCGAAAGCAACTCTGACGTTGGTCGGTGCCTGCATTGTTTACAGCGGGACGTTGGCTGTATATCCTCTATTCGGATGGAGCGAGTATACAGAAGGATCTTTGAACATTTCATGTGAAATAAACTTATCCAACACTACCGCCATCTTCCATTCCTATACAATCTGTTTACTTATTCTCGGACTGGTCTTTCCATTGGGACTCATTGGGTTTTCCTACGGTAGCATTTTTCTGTTGGTAAGTGTAAATTGTATTATTGAAGAAAGATAAAAAGGATCAAAATATGTACATGCCTGTACATATACATGTATTAACGGGGATAAAAAGAGGGTCCCCGTGCTAACATTATCATATTTAAGTATCATTTGCTTAAATTCGGTGTTTCATAAGTACTATTGCATCAATTAAAATTTGACAAGAATCGTAACTACATCATTATGTTTATGTACCCATGAAAAAACGAAGTATATAGATTCACATGCTATTATCAAAATTTGAACTTTGTCTAGTCGTAAATGTGTCTTTCGAAATTACCTACATGGGGAATAAGGTACGGTACTCTACTTATATTATAAATAACATGTCTAATCAAATACTGAGATATGTGGATTAATAAATTACGTCGAGCCGATATTTTCGAAATTTTGATACAGGTTTGATACACGAGGATAAAAACACCAGTGTGGGTTCTTGAAAGAATACAATTTTGTATACGTCTGTTCCCATATATGAGCGCATACGGCGATTAATGTGCAGACTTTCCCCTGCAGAATCAAATGTTTTCCTATATATCACTTAATGAAAATAATTTGAGAACCGAAAATAAATATGCTGCCCCTATCTCAACTAAAATGACCTGTACATCTTCTTTTGTCTCGTGATAATATCGGTTCGGCATCGTTTCATAGCCACCGGATGAGACCGTTGTTATTTAAATGAAACCTCTGGAGTGTCATACTATCGTTTTCAGATTATGACATTTCAAACGACAATCTAAAAGTGACCCTTGAGTAGCCACAACATTTTTTTACACTGTTATATATAACCTTATCAGTTACGAGGACCAAACCTCTATTCATACTTTATGGATTTAGTGGAATACCACACGATAATTATGTACAAATCTCCGCAAGGGGTAATTAAAGAATGTCTGCATGTCGATGTAAGACAAGGTAAGGGAAAGGGAAGAGGACGGAAAATGCGAATAAATTTTTCAATTTGAACATATGAGACGATGGCAATCTAGGTCTAGAAACTGTTGTGTTCACAATATATAGTTGACCGTAAATACAGTGTATAGTCTGTCAAGTGTCGAGTTCCTGTGTTGACGAACGATGTTGATAGTTCGTTGTTTTCGATCGAAATAAACATCTTGTATAATTATGAGGTCAGTGTTCCGTTTTGATAAAACCAAATGCAAGTAAACTATCTATTTACAGGTTTTTTTCTCCTTTGTTACCTATCCTACTTTAAACAGTGATATATATTGAATATTTGTATCATATTTACAGTGCTAACGCTAGTTCTAAACACCGTTTGACAACTGTGACCCGGTCACTTATAACTTATATATGTATATAGATGGTATCAAAGGAAAAAATAGTACATATTTCCTGCAGATCAAAAATGAGTATACCTTCATAGTAAACACATACATACTTATCTACATGGTTAGCACAAGATGGAATAATTTCTTTGGTAAGATTTTTATTTTCCTGTAAGAGAGATAAACATTGAATACAAAATCTAATTCAAATTAATGAGTGATGGCTAGCTCCAATATTATTTTGGATATTAACACATTTGATAAAACTTGTCACCAAATTAACTTTCGATGTAATGGTTCAAATAAGATGACATTAACACAAATATTTCAGAGGTAATAGAAAGGTTTTCAGACACGCATTAAAATACCATTCAACTAAAATTAAATCTAACATGATTTCCATACAATGTAATTAGTGAAATAAGGATTGGTTTCTTATCATGTACGTACCTCGTTTAGCATGTAATGCTATAAATTACGTGACCTATGACCTCGTGCGAATTAGTTTCGTGTTTCGATGTTACATGCAGTGTTTGTATGTCAATGACATAACGAGGAATGTAGCAATCTGGTAAAAGAATATAAGTAGGGTTGTCAAAGGCTAGCCGGTTAATAGGTCATTAGGTCGGAAGACTTACAAATAAAACGAATGAGATGCCGACAACCCCATAACAAGTTTAAACAAATTGTATTCAAACTTTGCAAGGTAGAACTTGCCTTTACGAGTAAGATGTAAAAATTATCTCCAGACACATTTGGCTGATATATCAGTGAAACATTTACAGATGTTCAATTAACTTTGAATAAGTTTGTTTCTCAAGAACAATTTTTCCGCAGAACTATTTTTATCGCTTCCTGCTTTATTCTGACCAATCTTATTGATGTTTCTCGTATCTCCTGCATTTAGGTGTTGGTGAGTTTGAATTACGTCATTTAACTCTCGTACTAATTAATAGGCTATACGTTTTTAAAGATCATTTGCTTTAACAAAAATGCATTTTTTGTCTGTTATTGTTTGTTTTACGAAATGGTCGATTAAAAGGTTACTTTGTCGGAAGACTTTCCGCATTATTGGTTACTAAAATGTGTCCGTTTTTGTACAGCCCTGAATGCACAGGAAATGATAATAATAAACAAATGACATAACATAAACAAATGAATGAGTCATTGACGAGGATTTGATCGTATTTTCACGTGACATTAATATTTAGTTGGACTAGATGTCCTTTCAGGAATTCGCTTTTGAGGAGTCCTGCGAACTCTTTGTCATATTCATCTTGGCCGTGCTTCATTATTTAAAATGTTCCGCTTGTATAATAGAATATCGTGTCTCAAATGTTACGTTCTGATTATTCTACATTTACCTACTTTCATATTGTTGTTAAACGCGGTTCGTGTGTAAGGCTTCCCTGTTCGTTTCTCGTCAGGTTTCCGCTTTAACAGAAGGATAAACCTTTGTAATGTAGTCGTTTACATCCCAACAAATGTATTTACGTGAATGTCAATTAGATTAATATATTCGGCAATGTTTTATTGAAATATAAATTACCCTACTTTAACATATTACAGTATCAACACATGCATGTATCGTATAGGCGTCTTGCAATGCTACTTTGTGTCAAAGAATTCATTCGTTTTCTACAAAATTTCTCCAATAGTTAGGGCACAAATAGAACCTGGAACGCCGAGGACAGTACCGCCGGAACGAACAACGACCCGTGACTAAATGGGTGGTTTTTGATAAAAAAAACAACAACAACAACAACAACGTATTCATTGGTATATATACATCTGGTCAGCAACCCAAAGCTGAACGACACCGTGGCGGAGAGTTTATCGTGTAGATTACGTAGTTCGTTTTTGCACTACACCTACGGAACCAACGGAAAGTCAGATTTAGATATCCCTTTGGTTAAAACAAAACAAACAAAAAAACAGAAAAATATGACCTTGATTGATTTTCTGATGCAGTAACACATGCGTGTCAATAAAATATATAAACAAACAAGGGAGTTAAGAGATTCAGGCACCCATCTTGCCAGGAAATTAAGCGTTTGGAAACACTTAAATATTCTTTATTTTTCCTTTTTTGCCCGAGGAGATCACTCGGACTCGGGTTTATAGGGTCTCAATTATATACAAACGTCACACCGAATCAAGTTGATGGCAATCTCACCAACTCCGCATGATGTTGAAGGCAACTGTTTCAGCAAGCCTAAAAACAAATCTGAAAAGAGACATATTTTTGAAAGCGAATACAAACAAAATGACAGAGAAATGTTCATGAAACCAGTGTTTGTAAAGGTCATCGATTAAATTTGACAACTTATGATGAACATCTTTACACAGCAAAATATTCTTTATCTTCACAGGTACGACGTCGACGAAAAATTCGCTTTGCAAGTTGCAAAGACGGCACACAGACGAAGGCGAAGGAAGTTAAGGTCATCAAAACTATTTTTCTTCTTATAGGTAAAGCCAATGAGTAATCTTTTCATTAATGTTTTTAATTTGAACTTTGAACTCTACCAGGTTTTAAATATGCTGGCAAAGGAAATATAACGGCAAATATAAATACAATGAGTGTTATTTAATCAAATTTAATGGTTTTTTGTATGAATGAGTAGCTTGAAACCGTACATCAATAAATATGTGTGTGTGTGTGTTATAGTTAAACATTAAGGATCCCTGTCCCACTGCAATGCAGTTTTTGTATGGATACAGTTTCTTCCCATTTAATGATTGGAAACATTGATGGTCTAGTACACTTCTGTGTGAACTAGGTAGCTTTGTAATTTTGAGCAATTGTAAAGTAACCTCTTTTTTTCCTCATATCATCAGAGCGTTATTGTTGGTTTTTTGTTTTCTTTCCCCTCAAAAATTTCCCGCAAGGTTGTACTCATGTCGACAAAAAGCGGTTTACAATGCATAGTTTTCGAATTTTGGCAGTAGATCGGGAATCCGTAATACACATACAACTTCTTTTCCTGAACATCCTTAACATGTTCTCATTGTACTGATATGATACTGACAGAAAGTCTGTCAATCTACATTTTTATTGTTTGAACATGTTCACCATTTTTCACTTTCTATTTTTTTGTAGCTGCATTCATCGTCTCCTGGTTACCATACTCGGGGCTTGTTTTCATCACCATGTTCTATCCATACAAGTCAATACATCCAGTGCTAGCAACAGTCCCGGCACTGTTCGCGAAATCCTCCATCATCTGGAATCCAGTCATCTATCTGATGACCAATACGACGTTCAAGCGTGCAGTCGTGAAGTTGATACCTTGTGCAGGTGTACTTAGTAAGGTGACATGTGTCTACAAAAACTTCTTTCTTCGAAATAAAAAGGATGTGATATCCACAGCTGTACATATTGCCGTAAAACGTGATAAAGAAGGGTCTGTGATGTCTACCATGGTATAGAAAAATGACAATTTTAAACCGTCAAAGTTATAGTTAAACTGAGGAATAATTTCCACTGAATTTTTTCAAAACTATTTTTAAAAGTCTTAAACTTTGTAATACTTTTAGTGTTACTTGTCTTAAATTGATGGTATACTTTTTATTTCTATTATTCGCATATGATGTATAAATCTATAAATTGACTAAAACATTGGTTATTATGCTTCTGAAAGATAAATTACATAGGCTCTGTCATGTGTTGTGTTATATAAATCAATGACATAGCTCCTTTTTAGGTCACCTGAGCTTTGCTCAAGTGACCTATTCCAATCACTTTCCGTCCGTCGTCGTCCGTCGTTCGTCGTGCGTCGTGCGTCGTGCGTAAACTTTTACATTATCAACTTCTTCTCAAGAACCAGTGGATGGATTTTTTTCAAACTTGGTCAGAATCATCCTTGGTAGATGAGGCTACCAAATTGTGAAACTGGGATTCCTACCCCAACCCTAGGGGCCAGGGCGGGGCCCAAAAGGGAAAATTAACCAATTTTTCAAAAATCTTCTTCTCCAGACTCAGAGGTATTACAGTTATTTTCTCTGCATGGATGGAAACATCATCAGGGGCTTTATTTAAATTGTAAATTTCAGGACCCCCAAATATCCGTTCTCCCTTGGGGAGGGGGTAAAGTTTACTATAGTTTATATAGGGAAACAACACTTTTGGGTATATTTTGACAATTTTCTGTTGGAAATTATTTTTACTTGGTCAGAATCATCTTTGGAGGAGGAAGATGGTTTTAAATTGTAAAATTGGGATTCCTACCCCAACCCTAGGGGCCAGGGCGGGGCCCAAAAGGGAAAATTAACCAATATTTCAAAAATCTTCTTCTCCAGACTCAGAGGTATTACAGTCATTTTCTCTGCATGGATGGAAAGATCATCAGGGGCTTTATTTAAATTGTAAATTTCAGGACCCCCGAGCTATCCGTTCTCCCTTGGGGAGGGGGTAAAGTTTACTATAGTTTATATAGGGAAACAACACTTTTGGGTATATTTTGACAATTTTCTGTTGGAAATTATTTTTACTTGGTCAGAATCATCCTTGGAGGAGGAAGATGGTTTTAAATTGTAAAATTGGGATTCCTACCCCAACCCTAGGGGCCAGGGCGGGGCCCAAAAGGGAAAATTAACCAATATTTCAAAAATCTTCTTCTCCAGACTCAGAGGTATTACAGTCATTTTCTCTGCATGGATGGAAAGATCATCAGGGGCTTTATTTAAATTGTAAATTTCAGGACCCCCGAGCTATCCGTTCTCCCTTGGGGAGGGGGTAAAGTTTACTATAGTTTATATAGGGAAACAACACTTTTGGGTATATTTTGACAATTTTCTGTTGGAAATTATTTTTACTTGGTCAGAATCATCTTTGGTGGATGACGGTATCACATTGTAAACTTGGAATTCCTGCCCCATCCCCAGGGGTTAGAGCGGGGCCCCAAAGGGAACATTTACAAATATTTTAAAATTCTTATCCTTTGATGACATGACAAGTGTTGTATTTCACTTAGTTTACATGCTGATTTCCACATCACATCTAAACAATAAAATAAAGCTACCAGTACCTATGATATAACTCAGGTGACCGCTAAGGCCCTTGGGCCTCTTGTTTACAAGAAGTGTGCATCATCTTAAACATGTATCTCAATTATTAATGAAATCGTAGTTTTTGTATTTACAACGATAACATGTACATCGAATTGAATTAAAGTAATGGTTTTTTTGGCGTTTGACATTTGGATTTTAACCGTCTTACCATTTCTATTTAGCATGTGTTATCACAATGATACCAAACTTTTATTTCAAGAATTCAATAATGTAAATTGTATACCTATGGTAATCAGACAATTTTAGGATTTTTTTGTAGTATTAAAAAAAAAGTTAAAATACACATCATAAATCCAGAAAAATAGAACAATACAAATTCAGTATTATATTGACATGATATTAACATACTGTTTAAACGAATACATTTTGCTCGTTTAAGGTTTATGGTGTATAATAAATAAACTGTTTTAAAGACAACCCTAACGAAAGAAGATATATAGCACAAAAGTACAGGATTCAATCCATATATTTTTTTATTCATTAGTTAAACATTATTTAACTTCATCTGCTCCATCTAGTGTGCCGTTTTCGTCCAATTTACGCAACTGAAGACGAGACGTTATCAAAACATATTGGGTTAAAGGAATAGAAGGAACAAAACTAGGATTTTGTTAGTGAATTGACTTGAGATGAGATTTTTATCAGAGGATCTCAAATAAACACCAAGTTTTGGAATAACTCTTTGTATGCTGTGAATAAATAATGTGATTCGTTGTTTATGACGACAATAACTGATAATAAATATACTCATTAAGAATAAACTTGTTCCAGAAGGAAGCAGTATAGCCGCCCTTCATAATTAGGAACTTACGTGATTTTCCTTCCTAGATAATAACGAAAATAAGATATGCTTATTAAAAGCTACAACAGAGCCTTCTTAGGAAAATTGTTTCTTGTCATTTTCTCTTTCTTCATGGTTTTTAACACCACAGTCAAAATATTAAACTGTTACATCGTTCATTATAAGTTTAATACGGCATTGTTTAATATAACGTGTAACAGAAATATATATGTTAAAGCTTCATGTATAACAAAACATTGTATGATTATCGTTGTTATATCATCATTGTGATATTGATTTCATGAACTGTTAATAAAAACGATGACAAAAATAGCAATGGTTTTATTTTACTTCTGAAAGAACAAAACCCTGGTCGTTACGTCGCAATCTGCTACAGAAAATGTATTAGTTGATTACTTTGTCTGCTGGTTTGATAGTTCGTGGATCTGTATTAAATTGGAGCAGATGATTCCGGTATACTTAATAGTTATAACGGAGAAAAAAAAAATTCGATTTATATTCTTTTCGATTGTGTAACGCTTTATTACAAATTTAGTTGTTTTTTCTTGCTTTGCCATTTTCTTGTTGGGTTGTTTATTCGTATTGACCCATAGTGTATTTACCTATGCATACATTTTGTAGTGTTTGTATTATTTGCAGTAATGAAGCATTAAACTGCTTTCAGACTCTGTTCATAGGCAATGTGAACGCAGTGGGTATTCATCTTGCCTATGAACTGCATCTGAAAGCAGTTCAATGTTAATGTTTACATTTGCACGCCTTTCTGTCTTTAAAAAAATAGTAACTTCATGAAAAAGATAAAAGAAAACCGAACCAGACTGAGAGTGAGCTAGTGAGAAATTGCATCTAACTTAACAACACTGAGCATTGACTGTGGCAAGGTGAAGGCAATATTTATTCAAAAATAGATTTTCAATTCCGCCTAAAAGTTATAAAATAAAGTAATTCTAATATAATTAAATATCATCAAATATACATATACGTTGACGATCAATTTTAGTCGAGTATTTTGATATTAAGATGTTTTATGTTGACAACTGTTATTTAATAGTGTTAGCATAATTAAATGTTTAAAAGACATTTTGATATTTCCTTATTTCTATAATATCGCAGAAATTAAAACATTGAATTATACAATGAACTGCTGTCAGATATCAAATTGTAGTTAAATATGTCCAGCTCAAACACATTAAGTTTCTCACAGAGTTAAATGTGTTCGTCTAAAACTTACAATAGTATTATGCATAGGTGGATGTTTAAAACTTTCTATTTTTTAAATCATCACCCCTTGCTACAATAAATTGCTCCAATGAAGAAATCTCGGAGTACCTGGTGAAAACGAACGTGATGTGTGTCGACTAGTCGCTTATGGCATAATAATGAGTGTGTATTAGACGCTAGAGACGTAACACAGTCAGGTGGGAATTACATCAGAAACCACTCCTGATCATATTATCTATCGATTTATACCAACACACAAATTATATCACTTTCATAAAAACGTGCAAGAACTTTAGAATAAGTAGTCATGTAACATCTTCGATTACATGGGATTCATTTTGATATCAGGTAACACCAGTGGAAATATTTGAAACTGAGAAAATAGCGATTATTACGTTGTTTAAAAATTGCGAGCGCATGCTATATATACTGAAGCATATGGTCAGCCAACTTAACGTTTAAAACCTTAAACATATATTTTCTAAACTTCAGAAGATGTTGCATCAGATTTCAATTAATCCTATATCTTATAAACAATTTAAATATCATCTAATTTAGCATAAGATATACCTATTTCATGAAACATTAATTTTTTGAAGCTATTTTAAGTTGTCCTTATAAAGACAAATATAAAGATGTTAAGATAAAAACCAGTATATATCATTTAAATGAAATACATTTCCTTTTCGTTTATAGATATTTCTTTTAAGATTTATACGATATATCTTTTTGTGTTAGAGATATTATAACGAAAAGTTAATATATGGGTTAACGTGTACAGACCCTGGACCGTTTTTCTTGTCCGTTTAAACGCAAACGCAACGCAAACGGAACACAAACGCAGCGGAAACTCAACGCAAACGCAACGCAAACTCAACGCAAACGCATACAGACCGTTTGGTTAAACACGCTCCTAAAACGAAGTTCATAGCAGACAAATAACGGACTTAGATTTAGATGTACTTGCTCACGGAAGCGTGTCGGTCTCTGACCTGTATTTACCTATACAGCGCTCGCTTGTTATTTGCACAGCGGCGGATGCAGATGTACTTATAGGCAACATTTTCCCCGTCAGCACCAACAAAATAATTTGGAACTCAACAATACATTACATTTATCATCTAATCACTAAATCTACACGACGTAAAAACACATTCCTTTTTATGAATTCATAAGATTAAAAGTATATTTGATGTTGGTGGTTTCTCACTTAT